GGCATTTTATATATATTTTTAATGTTGTTCTCTTCTATTTCCCCAAAAAAAAAAAATGTTGTTCTCTTCTAAATGAATGCACAAGATAAATTGCATACTTTATTCAACACTGATAAGCATAGAAAACTAATATAACCAATTATAAATGAAAATTTTTGCTAGCTTTTAAAATCAAAACTTTTGGCTTCAATATAATAGTGCTATACTTGAGATTGAACGAAGTTGTGGGTTGCAAGATTGAGTGTGGAAGAAAACGAGGGACTGAGAGTTGCGAGGCTAAGATGTAAGAGTGGGAGATTGAGAATTGGAGTGAGATTGAGAGCGAGGTTGATTGGAGCTAGAGGTTGGCGCCAATGATGATGAGAATGAATGATGAAGTGAATGAAGACAACAACACTTGTTTTATTTTCATTTTCTTCAAAATTTTTCCTTCTCTCTCTCTTTTCTTAAGATTATCTTTCTTCCCTCCTTTTTTTCATCTAATATTAAAAATTTAAATGATAAGAAAAATAAACAAACTTAAACCAACTAACCATCAACCTTAAAGGATTTACTCGTTTAATTTAAAATTGATCAGTTGAAAGTTCAAGAGCTTTTGAAATGTATAAACCTCAAGCTTGATCCTTGAGTTAAATGGGGCTTGGCTTGTTGGCTCATTTTTCTTTCTCTTAGCTACTAATTTTTTGGGTTGTTTGAATGGTTTTCTAATAATTGTATAGTAAGGAACGAAGAGTTTGAAGATTATTGGTGTTAAATTTTTTTTTTTTTTAAAAAAAGGCATGAGGTGGTGGTAGGATAGAAATTAGAGAAGATTTCAATCCAGACCTCTCGACCAAATATAATAATAAAAAAAACCTTTTAAAATTTGAAATTTTGCTGTAAATCTAGAGAAATGAAATTAAAATATAAATTAAAATTACCTCATTGTCTAATGGCTTAAGCTAAAAATTGAGCATTTTTCATAGTTAAATGGTTAATTTTTTTTACTAGAGTTGTTTATGTGCATAGCTCCACTTAACTTTATTTTTAATAATATTATCATGGTAAAAAATAGTTGCAAAATCCTTGTAGTTGTTTTAAAATTATTATTTTTCCTATAGGAATTGTTTTTGTAAATAGCTTCACATGAATTTATTCTTAGTGCTATTATCATGATAAAAATAATTGCAAATTTCTCATACAAATTGTTCATTTTTTATACTAAAGTAATTAATTTTTCTATAGAAGTTGTTGGCACGCATAACTTCATTTGTTTTTATTTAAATTGCTCTTATTATAGTAAATAAAATTGTAAATTCCTCATATTAAAATTGTTTATTTTTCATACTAAAGTGATTAATTTTTCTGCAAAGTTGTTTATGTTGTAGTTGATTTTTCACTAGAGACACTGAAATAATTTTAATTTCATTTCACTATCTTTGTTTGCAGTGAACTTTCATGCTTTAAGAGGCTCTTTATTTCGTTATGTTTGATCAAGAGTTCTAGCTAGACCGAAATTTTCCAAAGGAATTGCCATATAAAAGTAGAAGATGTGACCAGCAACACAATCAATAAGAATTATGTACACTGAACTAAACACACACACTGATTTAAAAAATGAAAAAAAAAAAAGAAAGGTACAAAACTTGTTGAGCACAATAAAAATGAGAACTCATTGGTAGTATTTTTTTTTAGAATAATATAACTTTTAATCTCTCAAATTTATTTCAGTTATTAATTTAATTTTTAAGTTGAATTTTTATCAATGTAACCCTTATTGATTAAAAAAAAAGATAATATTATTAAAATTTACTAATGTGAATAAAAAAATTTTGATGACAACCATATATGTTAACGAAAAGATGCATAATTATTTAATTAGAAAAAATAAATCAAACTTTGAAATTTTGAAAACAAGAGAATAAAATACAGTGTAAGGAATTACATTAACAAGTTTGAAGATTAATTTATCCTCATTTAGTTATATATATGTGCCAGCTCATCAATATATTTTACACATTAAATTATTTTGAAAATAAGAGATCAAATCCATAACTAAAACAAAGAATTGAAATTTTAATTTTCCCTGTGTTTTTTCTTCTAATTTTTGAAATGCCAGTTAATTATTTTTTATGAATTTATTATAAAAAAATGTTATGATCCCCATAGATAAGAGAATTTTCCCTAGGCATACAGAAAATTATTGGCCGCCACACCATGCAATGAAGAATCATTTGTTCTTGCAAAAGTTGTTATTTTCAAGTAGACTTGCTTTAAATTTTACATTTGATATTGAATAAAATACAATGACTCCCTTCCATTTTATTAAAATTATAGAAACCTCCTTTTTCTTTTTAAAACTTACCATTTAGTCCAATTATTAAGACCTTTAAAAATATTCTGTTAAATGTCCTAAAATACTTAAATTTTTATTTGTAACTATATTAAAAATGTTAAAATTATTAATTTATCCTTATTATCTAATTGTCTATCATCTCTCCCAATTTAAAAAAATTCAACGACATTATATAGAAAAATTTATTATATTAAATTATTATTTCATAAAGTTTTTATGAAAATATTTCTTAAATTTTTTGAATTTCGTGTTTTAAATATTATTCTCATCAATTTTATGCATTTAATTTTTAAAAATGACTAAATAAATACATTGACATAATATAAATTTAAAAGGGTAGAACTTATATACTTACAATTATATACTTAATATAGTGAATCTTAATATATTAATAACAGTAATAACAATAATTTATTCTAGAATAAATAATCAATACAAGATCCACATAACTTAAATCAAGCACATTAGGTATATAAGATTAAGTATATAAATTTTGAGAGTAGTGAGAATCCTAAAAGATATTTAGGTATGCTTATGTTATGGGGAAGGTCTAAGTCTGATGCTTTGCTCTTTGTGAAGGATAAAATGGCTTCTAGTCTCCAGGGTTGGAAACAAAGGTTGCTTACTTTTGCTGGAAGAGAAGTATTAGTGAAGGCAATAGCAAATGCAATCCCTATTTTTCCCATGTCATGTTTTCATTTTCCTAAGAAGGTGTGTGCAGATCTTGATAGCATGGTTTCGAGTTGTTTGTGGGGGTAGAAGGAGAATGAAGGCAGAATTCACTAGAAGTCGTGGAAGGTAATGTGTAAAGCTAAAGGTGATGGGGGAATGGGATTTAGAGACTTTGAATGTTTTAATAAAGCCCTTCTTGCAAAAACAGCTTGGAGATTGTTACAGAGATGAATTATGGTGTAGGATTTTAAAGGGTCTCTATTTTCCTAAGTGTGACTTCCTGAAGGCTTTAAAGGGATGCAAGGCATCTTGGGAGTGGTCAAGTATATTGGAGGGAAGGGAGTTCTTGGCTAAAGATCTGTGTTGATAGATTAATAATGGTTTGAAGGTTTGCATTTTTGATGATAAATGGATCCCTCAAGCTGTTAATCAGTCTTTACAAGGGAGAGTGCTTAATGAAGAATGGAAGAAGCTGAACGTTTGTGATATTATTTGTGATAGGATGTGGAATTTTGATGCTATGGATGGAATTTTGAATGATGCTGATAAGGAGCTGATTCGAGGACTTAGAATTCTTGTTCTAATTGGTGATGATAGGTGTGTGTGGATAGGAAATAAGGATGGGGTTTTTACAGTAAAGAAGGGATATAGATTGGTGAAAAGTAGATTGCTGGAGCAAAGTCAAGATACTCGTTGTTCAAATTCAGCATCTAAAAAATTATGGGAAGGGTTGTGGAAGATTAAGTTGCCTCCTAAGTGAATCATTTTACGTGGGGGGCTGTGAATAATGCTTTGGCTACAAAAGAAGCATTGTTCAAAAGGAAGTGTGCAATTAATCTTCAATGTGAAATTTGCAAATCTAAAGTTGAATCTGTTGAGCATTTGTTGTTTCTATGCCCTTGGGTTAAAGGTTGCTGGTTTGGTTCATCTTTAGGTTTGAAATTTGAAGAAGTTGGGATGGGCAGGTTTAACATTTGGTTGGCAAAAAGGTTGTTACAGCAGAAGCAGATCACTGATTACAACGTGGCTCTTTTTGCTAGTATCTGTTAGGAAGTGTGGAAAAGTAGGTGTGATTTTATCTTTGGAAAAATAGATGTTGATGCTGTGACTTGTTTAACAAAAGCTATTAGACTAGCTAATGAAGCTTGGGTGGTACGTGATATGAAGAATAAAGAGGATCTGTCATATGTTAATCCTGCATATGTGGATAAGGATTATGACCGGGTTGTGTTTTGGAGGAAGCCTGATGCTGGTTTTGTGAAATTGAATATAGATTGTTCTTTTGATAGGTCAAGGAAGATAGCAGCTATTGGGGTGATTGGTAGAAATCATGATGGAAAGTTTGTGGTGGGTCTGGGCAAGCTTGTTGCTGCAAATTCATCTTTGATGAGGGATCTGTTTACTAATGGGAAGGTGATCATTAAAACGGATTGCTTAGTTTTATATGAGAAGTTGAGGAATAATAGTATGACTGATTGTGAGTGGTTTTGTACTAATATTCTATTGAAGTGTTTGAAGTTTGAAGTTGTATGATGTTAATATTGATTGTTCCATGGCTCTTGTGGCTCGTGGTGGGAATAGTGCAACAGATTGGCTTGCATCTGGTGTTATGAGAAATATGGTTCCACAAGGATGGCTTTCTAAGCCACCATCTTCTCTTGCTTCTATCTCACTCAAGGATCAGCATAGCTTCTCCACGGGTGCTCCTCCCAAAAAGGGTATTGGATGACTGGCTTTTGTATTTGCTTGATTGTATTTTTGTTTTGTTTTGTGTTTGATAGGTTGTATTTAGATGTACTGTTTTATTTCCTTTCCTTAGGTTTAGGTGCTTTGTTTTTATCTTTACAGGGGATTAGTGTGTGCAATAATTCTTTTGATATTAATAAAATTGGTTTGTTTTGCTCAAAAAAAAAAAATAAGAAACTACATATCATACATAAACATGCTTATTGTAAAAAAAAAAAAAAACAAAGGAAACATGCTTACTGGAAGGTTCACATTATTTTATTTAATATGCATAAAACACAGGATTGCTACTTCACATCTGACACAAACGGCCCCAAAAAAATGCATGCACAGACAGACACACACACACACGCACGCACGCACACACAGACCTCTGATACACCAAAACACAAAGGAAAATAAAATAAAATTTAAATATAAAATACATTATTCACGCTTGAAGGCTTAATTTTCAGTAATCCTCAGGAGCCAAGGGTTGGTGAGGATGAGGTGGCTCAGTGGGGATGACGGTGTATTCATAGATGAGGGCTGCGAGCCCAGCTCCGATGAGTGGGCCCACCCAGTAGATCCAGTGGTAGTGCCATCTCCAGCCCACCAAGGAAGGCCCAAAAGCCCTAGCTGGGTTCATGCATGCCCCATCAAAAGGCCCACCAACGAGAATATTGGCCCCAACTATGAGCCCAATTGCCAGCGGGGCTAATGCTCCGTTGGTTCCTCTCTTCGGGTCGATGGCGGTGCCGTAAACGGTGTACATCAGACCGAACGTCATCACTATCTCGAATATAAGTGCGTGCATCGCGCCCTCCCCTATTCCCAACGTGAACGACGGTGGTCTCTGCATTCACACGTGGCAACACACAAGAAATCGCGAATTATTTCATTTAAAAATAAATTAATACGCTTTGTTAAAAGAAGAATTATCAAAATAAGAATTTGACGTACCATGTTATTGGTGACCAGCCTGAGCAAGAGAGCAGCAACAATGGCGCCGAGGAGTTGAGCCACCCAGTAGTATATAGCTCGCAGCACCGATATCCTTCCGCCGAGAAGAGCGCCGAACGTCACAGCGGGGTTCACGTGACCCCCCGACACATGCATGCTCGCCGATACAGCCGCAAATAATGCAAACGCATGCGCTGTCGCAATCGCCATGAGCTCGCCGGCTGACGATCCTGGATCCCTGTATATCTTGTCTGCCCACAAATCAAACCGGAAAATTCGATAATCTATCACCGATCATCATACATACACAAACAAGGCACACACTGACTTAGTTATATACTTTACTTACCCATTGCGAGGATGGAGCCTTCTCCGACGAACACAAAGATACAAGTGGACACAAACTCAGCTACGGTGGCTCTCATGGAGTCTGGATGTGTTGCCTCATCTACCCTTCCGAACGCATATCTACGTGTTGCCATTCTTTTCCTGATTTTTCAACGTTCTTGAAACTCAAGTCAGGCTGTCGGTATCCGTCTCAAAAGGGTCTGAAAGGTGTTTGTAAAATTGAACGTTCTTCACAAAAGAGTTCAGCAGGGCTGAGGTGGCTGAAAATGGAGCTAGAAATTAAAGAAACAGGTGAGGAGATTCGGACAGAAAAAGAGAAGTGTCTCTGCATGGCGGAAAAGTGGTGTGTGGCTGCTTAAATTAGCCAAATGAGGTTGGTGTGCGGTGAGACACCTGTTTGTAGAGAATGCTGAAGAGCAGACACGTGGTGATATGTGTTGTCCACTCACTTCAAATTCAGTCTCTACGCTGTTCCTTGTTTTCACAAGACTATAGTCATTTTTGTTTTAAAAAAGAAAGGGATAAAATCCAAAGTGCAGTTTATCCGGCCCTTTGAACTCATCTTCATTAACCCGGTTGCGGTTTAAAGATCTTATCTGACCCGGGTTTTTGTATCCATGTTCATTTGTGATGTCTTTCAATTTATACTGTTCACCGTACTGTCAAAGCCGGACCTGCAACATGCAAATTACTGCCAAGAATCAATTGGTGACATGACATGGTTCGCTTAGCCCAATTTGTTTTGACCCAGTCCAAGCTTGAAGGGTCAAGTAATGATGTGAAACACGCACTTTCTGTTTAGCTGGTTGATAACAAGGTATGTGCCAAGTTTTGGACTTGATTAGTATGGATCCATTTAGGAGAGCTGGTGAATCAAAGGGCAATTGTTTTCCTTCTAGAGTTTACTAAGTATGGTCAAGATATTTACACTAATCATAGAAATAAATTTTTCCATTCTTTGTACCCTTTTCCTTTCCTATTGTTTTTGCTTTCTGGTGATAGATATGGAATAGCATAATCTCAAGTAGCTGTATTGCTTGTCTCCCTATCAATGATCTCTGCGTCATATAAACGCAGTTTCTTTGCCCTTCAATTGACGTGATAAGAGTCTGTTTTTAGGACAGCTTAACCAATTAACTATTCTAAAGTGCCAAAATCAGGGTTAGTTTTGGCCGGCGGGAATGTACAATTTAAAAGGAGATTCGGTGAATTCTGATGATGTTAACAAAACAATTTTTAATCTCGAATCTATGCAGAAAGAAGTGAATTGTTCCTGTTGAGTACAAACCTTCACATCAGATCTTTTGCCCCTCATTGAAATGTTTGTTCTTTGAGGGGGAAAAAAATTAAAAAAATGTCAGCTTAAATGTGCTCCTCTTGAACTAGTAATGAACATTCTCGAGGTACTTACAATGCAAAACACACATCTTTAACGACATAATGTGTATCAGTCATTCTCTGATTTCATTTACTCTATCCCTTCTATTCTGGCCAAAACTTCATTCATTTTAGGCCGTCTCTCTGGTGTCATATCTGTACACTGTAGAGCTATCTCTGTTAGCTCGAACATAGCACCATGCCCTTCTCTTGCTGCTAATATCTCAGCATCCAGTATATCTGTGGACCAATCACTGTTCACCACTGTTCTCACCCATTCAGCAATATCACTGGTTGTTTCTTCAATCTCACCCAGGCTTTCACCTGGAACTTTCCCAGTTATTACCTCAAGGATGATGATTCCAAAGCAATAGACGTCAGCTTTGCGTGTCAGTTTCTTCCCTTGGACAAATTCAGGTGACTTGCTGATAGCTAGCTTTTCTGTTCCTTTTTTAGCAGAAAGCAAAGGTAAGAAGCCAAAGTCCGTGAGCTTCAAATTGTAACCTCGAGCATCTTGACGAATGAGGACGTTGGATGTTCTTAGGTTGGCATGAGGGACCTTCTGAGAAGGCAAAGAGTGATGAAGGAAAGCTAGACCTTTTGCTATGTCTTTGATTATGGCCAGCCTTGTGGACCAATTAAGAGGAGTTCTTCCAACTCCTCTACTACCTAGCATTAGCAGATCATGAATATAAGAGTTCAATCATGTGTTTTTTCTTTTCATATAAGAGAAGGAAAAGGATGGAATCAAGCTAACCATGGATTAGCTCAAACAAAGAGCTACTACAAGGGATAAACTCATAAACCGCCAGCTTTTCCTCGTCTGAGTAATAGAAAGAGATGACTTCAACCAGATTTTCATGCTTCAGCTTTGCTTGCAATTTCATGTGCTGGAGGAATTCCTTCTTTCCCAATCCATTCATGTGATCAAGTCTCTTCACAGCAACAACAGCACCAGTTTCAAACGTTGCTTTATATGTAGTGCCTATGTTTCCCTTGCCTAGAATTTCTGCTGATGCCCTTAATAAATCATCCAAGTCAAAAATTGGTAATTCCTTGCTGTAAATTTCCAATATTCCTGATCTTTCAGGATCTTCAGTGCTCAATGAATAGGACATCATATTCTTTGCCCATGCTCCAAAACCATATCCTGTTTCAGAAATTGAAGGATAAATTAGAAGTCATTTTTAAACCATTCTTGCTATTGTATATCTGAAAGGAAAAGAATAGATGGGAAGTGAAGGTTTCATTAAAATCCTGCAATTGTGTTTACCGGAAAAAGAAAAAAATCCTGCAATAGCATGGAATTGGGATTGGAAAACTGGAAGTGAAAGTGGAACTGAAAAAATAGGTTGTTTGGTACTGTGGATCTCACTTCTCCATGGAATCTGGCTTCATCGCAATTGGCGAAACTCACTTCTACTTTATACCTATGGATCCCACTTCCTCCCTCATTTCCTTCATAAAAAAAATGATCCATTTCCATGTATACCAAACATGTTTTAAAACCTCAATTCCTCTCTCTTCCAGTTTTACGTCCATAAAAAAACTCTTCCATGCTGCGAAACGGGGCATTAGTTCTCTCAAACCAGGCAACCTTGCATCTGAAAGTTTCCTCAGAGGTATGAACGGAAATTATCTTTTGGCCATCTCTTTTGTTTCCTTCTAACCCCTTTCATTTAATTAAGATTCCCTTACTTGTCTTTGCTTATAAATCCCCAAACATTTCCCTGAAAGCTGATATGAATTGCATGTATTAAAGAATAGAGATACTTACCTGGAGAATAATTTCTGGTTGTTTCTTTTAATTGATTCCTCTTATTACAGAAAAAGAAGACGATAATAATTAGAAGTAAAACCAGTGTAGGTCCTGTAATCATCACAGCAATAATCCAAACTGGAAATCTCTTGTTTTCTTTTGCTGTTGCTGGGCTTGGAGCTGGTGCATAAGGAGGGGATGGAGAAGGAGCAGGACACAAAATATCCAATGGCTTCCCACAGAGATCTGAATTATTATCGAAAGAGCTCTTAGGAAATTTCTGCAGCACAGAAGTTTGAGGAATTGGTCCCACCAGATGATTGTAAGAGACATTGAAATTTGTCAATGATGCTTGATCAAAAGGTGGGATTTGACCATCTAAGTAATTTTTTTGCAGCTCCAATTCCTTCAGACCAGGCAAGCCAACATACTCCACTGGAATTGACCCGTAGAAGCGATTATATGAAAGCAAAACATGTTCCAAGAACACCAAGTTGGTGAGATTTGGCAGGGTCCCAGAAATGGAATTGTTTCTGAGGTTAAGCTGAGTTAAGAATGTTATGTTTTGAGGGAATGCAGGAGGCAAATAGCCAAGAAGCTGAAACCCTTCAAGAACAATCTGAACAACATGCCAATTAGAACAAGTAATACCTTTCCATCTACTTAGACTGTGTATACAAGGTGGTCCTGTCCAATTCCCATGTAAATCAGAAGGAGAAGTTAAGGAATCCCTCAGAAGCAACAGAGCAGCTCTTTCCGCTGGATGAAGCTGTGAAAGCACCATGTGTGACAGGAGCAACAGAAGCACAAGGTTGAAACAGCTCATGCTGATGCCAGATGATGATATTGGATACTACAGTTTGACATGGATGGGGGATTTGAATTTTGAAACCAATCAAATGGCCTGTCACTACCTTTTGTTCAACTTTCTGGTTTTACAGTTTGAGTCTTTGACGAAGTGATCAAGGAAAAAAAAGCTGTTCCCAGATCGATGCTTATAATGGGTTTGAACGCAAGCGGTCTGAACTAGGTTCCAGATCATTTTATTTTTTTATGAATTCACACAATAGGTGAAATATGTGGGAAGGTGAGTGTAATTTTATATTTTGGGCATAGGTGTCATCCTCTCGAAGTCAATCTTATTTGAGGAGGCACAAAATGTGAGCACATTTCTGAATAAAGATTCAAACATAAGTTGACTAAGTTCATAATGATTTTAATGATGTGGATATTGATTTGGATTTGATGACTCTTTATCCATTAGTGTTAGTCTAAAATAAAAGACACTTTGCAAAAAAATCAATAGCATTATATTCTTTTTCACAAATGCTCTTATTAATTGTATTGTAGAAATATATATATATATATATATATAATAAATAAATTAAAGATAATTAAGATATATTAACTTTAATTGGATGGTTTTGTTGGAAAGTAATAATATTTTTAATGTAATAATAATTTTTTAATTATTGTAAAATCAGTCAAAAACATTTCTAAGAGTTTATTAAATGATAGAATATAGTGATATGATATAATTCATGTAGCTGGCTCACCTTCTTGTTGTTCTTAAGAAAGAAGAAAGAATAATAATGATAATGATAATGATATAAGAAACAACGTGACAGCTTTCCTATAATATTCTGAAATCTAAACCATCCAATCATCCTCTCATTGGTTCGTTCATTGTTCCTTGATTGCTTTGTTTTTAATGAATAAGAAATAGTACATGTTATAGAAACCGTATCTTCGTGGGAAGCGAGGAATGTCAAATGTGATTTCTGTGATTAAAATTTTCAGTCTTAAGTTAACAAATCATAGAGTTATTGTAATGTAATACTCAGAGATTATTGTTTTTAAATAAACGAAAAGCATATTAGTATAAGTTATTCCCAATCCCAAGTAGCTAATTTGGATTAAATAAAGAAAATGGCACCAATCATTGTCGAAACATGTAACAACAGAAAATTCAAAATAGATTTCGTGGAAGACTTACTGGAGCATTGCTTGGTTGGCCCAGATTCGCGGGCACGCAGACTAATATTTTAAAATTAAAATATAAACTTAGTCATTTAATTTTGCATAAAGTCTTTTATTATAATCTTTTGATTTTATAAAAATATTTTTTCAGTTATTTAATCTTAACATCATTAATTTTATTATAAAAAATTTTTACATTAAATTTTTAAATATTAATAAAACATGCTTAAATGCTGATATATTAAATTTAATTTTTTTAAAAAATAATAAAAATTGGCATAAAAAGTAATCATTGAAACTAACAGTATTTAAGTTAGAAAACTAAAAAAATGCTTTATAAAATTAAAAAAATTAAATTAAAACCTCATATAAAATTATAAAATAAAAAATACACTTTAGCATATTTTAGTTAATCTGACACGTCATATAAATAATATTTTTAAGTGTTAATTGATGTCTTTTAATCACAAACACAAACCCAACATAGTTTTTCTTATTAAAAAAAACCAATATAGTTTTATATTATTCTTAAATATATACACACATTTAATATTGTCTAAATATAAAATTTATTATTGTTTCTATATCCGTTAAAGCCATAATTGGTACTTGCAATACGATGTACTAAATAATGTGTGAAAAATTGCTATAATAAATATACTTATAAATGTCACTATAGCATATATTTTTTGTTAAGGTCATAGTCTAGAGAGTATTTTATTTTTTAAACCGGTGGTACTTACATTACATAATCATTAATTTTTTAAATTTAATGTTGTATGATGTTAGAAAATCTTTTTGACCTACATTTTGTTAGTTAATAGCCACAGTGATTACTCAAGTGATTGTATTTCCTTTTCACTTATTATTGATAGATAAAAATAGAAATATCATATAAAAGCATGATCATAATTCCTAACTTTAAGCTACTTATACCATTATTACAAATTGCAAATATAGCAAAATATATAGCTTTAATTTAAATTTGTCTTTACTTCTGTTTTTATTTTGAAATTCATATCCTTACCTTAATTCTATTATTTTTGTACTCAACTTGTCTCTGGTCCCTTTCTTGGCAACGTGAGAAGGGAAAAAAGGGGGAAAAAATAGATAAAGCAACTTTTCGTTATTTAAGATTGTCTTAGTTATCAATTTAGTTATTTAAGTTTACTCTCCATGTTTCAAATTATAAGACACTTTTAGATAAAAATTTCACATACTAATAATCCTCATTAAATACACTTAATAACTTTATTTTTTCAAAACCAAAATATAAATTTTCAAGAATACCGTTCATTTAATAACTTTAAATCCACACCTAATTAGTACTAAAGAGAAAGGAGTAATATTGAAATAAGCTTATTTAATGAAATATTAATCTTCTCAAAGTGTCTTATATTTTGAGACAGCAAACTCTTTTAAAAATGTCTTATAATTTGAGATGGAGGGAATAATTTTTATTTATTTAGTCCTTTGAATTTACTTTGATTATTGATTTGATCTTTATTATTTAAAAATGAGGTCATATATGGTGACATAGATAGCAAAATCTTGATGGCAACCATGCAAATTAATGAAAAGAAATGATTATTTAAATAAGAAAAACTAGGCTCTAAAATTTTATAAAACAAGAGGGGAAAAACAATGTAAGGAATTATATTAATAAAATTATTAAACTAACCTAAGAATTAATTTGTTCCCATCTAAGTACAAACACATGCTAAGTTATCAATATATTTTACACATTATAGATTATTTTGAGAATTACTTTGTCTTTTAAAACTTAAAATACTCACATAAAAATTTAAGAGATTAAATTAATAAAAATTAAACTTCAAGAACTAAAACATTAACGAAGAGAAACTTGAGAAAATATAAATTTCATTATCATTAAAAAAAATCAAATTTCATATTTGACAGTAAAGGAAGTGCTCAAGGAAGAGGAGGAAGTTAAATGCCACTTCATCCCTATTTGTGGGACCTGCTGTCAAAACATTTTAAAAGTTCATACTGTTAAGTTATTCATCCTTAATGAATCAACATCAAAGATAAGCCCACGTTAAGAAATGGGGCCTTATCAAAATATTGAGAGGATCTAAATTTTCATGTATAATATGTTTGGTGCCTTAACTGCATTTTTTCCTTCACGCATGATTGAAAACTACCACGTGTGTGAGACCAATTACTCATATCATTTTGGACATTTTGCAAGCATATTGAAAAACGTTCTCACCTCTTCTCTTGTAGTTGGTGCATTTGCTATGTATTCCAAACTACATTCTACAGTGACTCCCTTCCCACATAGAGAACACATCTAGTGTGATAAACAAGTACGTTTCCTCTTCTAAAACTTACACATCGAATACCATTTTTTCTCATTAATCAAACTAAGACCTTAAGAAATAAGAAAAACTAGATTTTATACTAATAACAATTAAATTTGTTGTGATTAATGAAAAATGAAAAAACAAATTTCTTGTTTACATTTATATTATAACCTTTTTCATCATCACAGCTATTTTAAAAAATTATCACTAGAATTTTATAAACTACAAGGAATATTTTTATTGTTACAAAATATTTTAGCGGAGAGGAAAGCACTCACAAACACATTTGGTTTTAACACCACAGTCACATTAATTAAATTCCGGATATGAAATGTGAAGATTTCAACAGTATTTCATTAGGGGTCGGAATGACAAGGGAGATAAAAGAATGCATCTTATCAATTGGAAAAGCTACCTAAAAAAAAATGAAATAGAGGAATTTGTTTCAGGCCCTCCCAATCTTTTCAACAAGGCCCTTTTACCAAAACAAATTTGGAGAATTGAAAAAGATAATGCTAATCTTGTGATTGAACTTGACTGTGATAATTTTATTAGGTCAATGTTTTATGTTAGAAATAAGCCTAATTTTAGCATATGCTCTTAGAAGACGTAAATATGTTTTGTTCTCTCCCCTTGTTTCTAGACTTCATTTCCTAATTCTTAATAAATGATATTAGAGCTGGGTTTTTCTTGAAGCTTGTATGAAAAAAACATTATCAAACAAAAGACATTGGGGAACATCATCAAGTGTTGGTCGACCCTTCAATCATTCATTCTCAACTTTATCAATTACAAACATTTTAGTATGATAAAAAGATGAACCATTAAATTAAATTTCTAGATGGGTTAAACAGTAAAGTGTTGGAATCTCATATGTAGTTAGAAAGTATGCAAGTACATCAAGTAATGTGCCTAAATCTTGAAGCATTTTAACATTGACATATAGAATGACTAAGTGAGATCAATATAGACTACATAGTGTAAAAGAAAAACAACAATTGGCTGAGCCTCTGGGACACGAGCATAACATGCTCTTCATGTCATACTTGAAATATTTTGCAAAATAATTAGTAATACGAATAATGGAAAAGGTCCTAAAGCAATTTATTGCCTTCAACAAGTTTTGTAAATTGAAACTCAATTTCAATGGAACTGAATTTAGGAATACATATTTTCTTCAGGTGTGACCAATGATATTCGGGGTCAAATAATGGTTCTTTCATCATTTGTTTCTCAACTCTTTCAAGCTCGAGAACTTCAAGCTTGAGACAATTTCAAAGCTACTTTAGCATAATTTTCAAGGGATGAATGATTTAAATTTCCATCCATTAATCTAATATTTGTAGTGTTAGGTATTCGACATTTCTGGATCAATCAAAATATTCTTATATATTGATACAAAAAGGCTAGTCAACTTATCTGCTCAACACTTGGTAGATGAGTTCATCCAAACTTTAATTCATGTGAATAGGGGTCAAAATCAAATGTGCTTTGGTGCCCCTTAAGTGCACAAATATGTTGTGAGAAAATATATATCTCTTGATAAGAGATATCTCGAAGAAAACTTGATTCTGATAAGCATGAAAATAAGGGGAGAATGCAAATGGACAATGAAAAGAGGAGGACAATACATCTTAAGATGATTTGTTATATATTAGTTATTATGTCAAATTTATTTGACTTGATAATTGCAAAAAATTGTATACATATTTCTTATATATATATATATATATAAGATGATTAAAGAATTAGAGGATGGTTTTTTAATTTCAATGGTTGTGCTTAAAACTTAGTACTAATTGA